AAAAAAAAAAAATCCACTTGCCTGTTCTGAGGAGTTGCTCACAGCCATGGTTCCTAGAACATTAACTAGACAATGTGGAGGGTGTGTCTTGGGAACCTTTGTCACAGGTGAGATGCGCTAGGGGAGCTAGGGTATTTTGCAGGTTACCTTTATATGGTATTCCTATAAAATTGGTTAACCTGCTTAGAAAAATAAAAAAACAGGTTCAACAAAATCAACATCCATTTTGTAACTGCCAAGGCTATGAAACCATTGAAGTTTTATTGCTAGGTGGTTAGAGTGCCCTCCTGTGTCTTTATATTAAAATGTCATGTGAGAACTTTCAAAGGACATAATGAAATTATAATCATGCATTAGAATGTATAACATTAGAATTACAGTTCTTTTAGAATTTGTCTAGCAGGTTTTCTGGTGACACCACCAAAAAATTTAAATTTAAATTTTAAAAAATGTATATAACATTAATTGTTCTGCTTCATATTTCCCAGAAGATCAATAAAAAAATCTGAGGCGCCTCCTGCGTGGAGGAATTCCAGCTGAGGAGTCTCGGTGGAAACTTCTGTTGTGTTGCAGTCAAAATTTCAAGGTCTAGAGCTACCCTAGTAAAGAACTCTAGTCATATTTATTTGGCAGGACAGCATCTAAAGACCCTTCCTGTGTTAAAGGAATGAATCTCTCTCTTATGAGAAGAGCCCACTTTCTACTACCGAAGCTCAAAAGCAAACACTCACTTTCCCAGCCTCCCTTGCAGCTAGAGTTCCCAATTTAAACTCAGTCAATCAGGCGCAGTGCAGTGGCTTATGCCTGTAATCCCAGCACTTTGGGAGGCCAAGGCAAAGGTTCACTTGAGGCCAGGAGTTCAAATCTCACCTGGGCAACATAGTGAGATATCCTCCCTCCCCATCTCTACAAAATAATTAGCTGGGTGTGGTGGCACTTGCCTATTGTCCTCGGCTACTAGGGAGGCTGACGTAGGATCTCCTTGAGTCCAGGAATTGAAGGTTACAGTGAGCTATGATTGTATCACAGTATTCCAGCCTGGGCAACAGAGGGAGATCTTGTCTCAAAAATAAATAAATAAATACATAAATAAATAAATAAACAAACAAACTTAGTCAATCAAACTCTGAACTGGAAGCTAGAGAGGCTACAAGCACATGCCCACTCTGCCAATGGGCAGCCACCTCTGGTGTGCTGGGGCAGCAGTGGCATAGTCTCCACCAGGCTAGTCTGCAGATTTGGGGCATTGCTGTCTACCTGAGTGTATCCTCCAAGTATGGTTCTTCTGCCCTGCAGAGATTCCAGTTGCTGGCCAATATCTTCTTAATGGGCTCCTCTTTTGTGTAAATTATCCAGAGACTGTTCATATTGCTTACAACTAAGAAAATGACTTAATCACCAGATGCTTATTGAGTAGCTACTAGAGGGAAAACAGTGGGCCAAACACCCCAAGGAATGTTCTGGAGACCATCCCTGCACTCATAGACACAATATAGAAAGTTAAAAGTGCCAAAAGGCTGGTATATAGGAGTTCCCAGATATCTAGACCAGTGCTGTCCAGTAGAAATATAAGCCACATGTCTTAGTCAGCTGGGGCTACCATAACAAAATACTATAGACTAAACAGCTTAAACAGTAGAAATGTATTTTCTCACGGTTCTGGAGGCTAGAAGTCCAAGTTCAGGATGTCAACAGGTTTAGGTTCTGGTGAGGACCCTCTTCCTGGTTGCCTATTCACTCTGTCCTCACATGGCAGAGAGAGAGAGAGCTCTGTGTCTCTTCCAGTAATGGCACTAATCCCATCATGGTACCCCACCCTCATGACCTCATCTAAACCTAGTGAGCTCCCAAAGGCCCCATCTCCAAATACCATCATAGAGGAGGTTAGGGGTTCAGTATATGAATTTGAGGGGGACACAATTCAGTCAATAGCACCACATATGTAATTTTACATTTTCTAGTAGCCACATTATAAAGGTAAAAAGAAACACATGAAATTAATTTTAATAATAT